ATGTATTATTGTTTTCATTATTTTCTCTCTTTCTTAGTGGGAAGTGAATAATTTCTTCCCGGGGATGTTCCCTTTTTTGGAGTTTGGAGGGAAGTCTATCCGAACTATGTTAATTTTGAAATTGGTCAATGCTTAATAATGAGCCTTTTATTTTTCATTCAATAATATCTCGGTTTTATCTTAATTCTAATCTCAATCAATGATGTTAGAATCTATTTAGTTTTCATTAGTTATGTTTCATAAAATATACTTTCATGTTTAACATGGTAAATTTACCATCACCATAAAGTAAGTTTATGAGTGGAAGATCTTTTATGAGAGAGGGATGGTAGAAATACTTTTAGGTAACTTGGTTGGGGATACATGAGGTAGATCTACACGTCACACACGCTTTAACATTTTTTAAAGAATCTTTATTATTTACTAAAAGAATTTCATCCGTGGCCTCTCCTTTTAATGTGTGACACATGTAAACTTATCTAAATCCATTCTCATCCAGTTACCTAGAAGTATTCCGGAAATATCTCTCCACCTCCAAAATTATTGTTCTCAGTTAAAAGTTAAAACTCACCTCATCTCCAAAAAAATACTCTCTTACTTTAATCTTAACTATTTTTATTATAACTCTCTCTCTCTCTGATATTAATTATTCTTTAATAATTTAAGGTAAAATACAAAAATCTCCCTTGAAATTTCTGATAATCATAAGTCTCCCTTATAATTTTGCTTTAATAAAACCTCCCCTGAATTTTTAAAGAATTCAACAAAATCTCCCCCAGATGAAAAACTGATAAAGTTATGAAATTGGCCCTCACTAGTGTCATTAATTGCTTCTTCCTCCCCCGCTCTCAACTTGTTGTTTGTTAGGTTGAAGTTTCGAAATGGCCGTGATCTCATTTCATTTTTTTCTTGGTTTTGTTTTGTTGTAGGAGAACAAGAATGAAGGTGAGAAAGAAGGTTGGCAGAGGGAAAAAGGATGATGGTTTGATTACCGTGGTCTTGAAGGTTGATATGCACTGTGAAGGTTGCGCCAAGAAGGTCAAACGATCTGCTATGGGTTTCGAAGGTACATCAAAAACATTAGAATTAATCTTTCTGTTTCTCTTGTCATTGGTGTTAAAAGTAGCACCTATAGGCTGTAGCATCTTTTCACAGTTCTATTTCAAATTCCTTCCGTTTTTTTGAGTATAGATATACATAAGTCAAAGAGAAAGAAGCAGAATCCATTTCCTGTTTTCTCAAAATTTTTTCTTTCTTCTTCTGGGATTTTACAAAATTGCTTTGATATCGAGATCCATTGTGATGGAGGCCCATCCCAAAGCCCATCTCACTCCTAGGGGCGGCAGCTCCTAGGATAAGGACAAGAGTCCAAGATAAGTCAAGAAAGGATAATTCAAGACCCATCAAGACTTAATCCAAGACTTATCAAGAATCGAAGATTATCAAGACTCTTCCAAGGTTAGCAAGAACTCAAGACTCCAATCAAAATCCAACAAAGACTCCAAGAAGCATCAAGAAATCCAAGACTCCCAGATTCATGCATAATGAGAGCCAGGGAGATCGGACGGTGGAAGATCAAGCCCAAGAATTCCAAGAGGGTTCGACCTTATCAAGACAGCCCAAGAGGATCAAGATTCATGTTCTTTCCTAGTTTTTTTACAATTTCTAAATGTATTATAAATATTGCTATTTTCCCAGAATTATTAATCAATTCATACTTCATATTTTCAGATTTTCTTAAGTTCTCTTCTTTGAGTTTTCACCACCTTTTCTCTCTCCTAGAGAAATCGGTGTTATTCACTAGGTGCTAGCGAATGCCCGGTGCTTGCATAGCTAGCTCCGGTTTCCATTGCTTCCACATTGCATCACATTGCTCCCATCTCTACTGATTTACTTACAAAATATTTTGGGAAGAAGTAGTTTTGATATTTCAAATAGGAGTTATTTGTTTTGATTTCCCCTTTTCTTATAAAAATGTCTCTATATTTAAATTTCACTATTGCTTTGCTTCTTGGTGCATATTATACTCAACTTTGGTTTCCTACTTAACTTGGTTTACATCTCTTCATTTTCTTGCCTTTAAATATTTTAATCATCTCTTCATTTTGCTGTTGCGTCTGTGGTGGATAAAGGTATTGAAAACGTCAAAGGAGACAGTGGCAGCAATAGGCTAACCGTCCTAGGGAAAATAGACCCACTGAAAATTTGAAAGCAAATAGAGTAGAAGACGAAGAAGAAGGTGGAGCTCATCTCCCCCATACCCAAGAAGGAAGACAAGAAACCAGAAAGGCAATAAAGAAGAGAAGAAGGAAGAATACAAAAAAAAAAAAATACTATAATAATTGCAGAAGGGTTGAAGGTCATGAGCCATAACGGTGTCGCATACAGAGACTTAAACACATATATAGAGGATCCTATTAGACAAGTAGGGGCGGTTCTGGTATTTTGAAATATCTTAATGATACACTGACGATTTAATCAAGGGAAGTTTTGTAATTTTAATAGTTTTTTGTCTAGGTCAACGATGGAAGGGAGATTTTTGTCGAGTTCCTTAAAACTTCAGGGGAGGTTTTTGTTAAAATAAAACTACAGGAAAGGCTTTTATGATTATCGTAAACTTCAGGGGAGGCTTTTGTATTTTACCCAATAATTTATACACAAATTTCCCTCTGTATTATCAATCAATTCCCTCGCTTTTATTAATTATTCTTAAATAAATTTTATGAATTAAAATAAATTAATCGAATTATAAAAAAAAAGAACTCAGGGATTTGGGTCCTACACGGGGGAACTTGTCTCCATTAGGGATGGAGGTTCATTTTTCTCCCTGAGAGAAATCGAGGACATGAATGTGGAGTTGCTTCAAAATTAGGGGTGACTATGGGAATATGGTTCTTGCCCTAAGCCCACCCCATTAGCATTCATAAATTTCTCCATGTCTATATTAAATTAATCAAAAAATTAAATATGTAATTAGGCATCTCAATGGACTGGATTTGAGTTGGACCTCATCCAAATCAAAACCAATTTGAACTCGTTGGACGGTCCAATAAGACATGTTGAATTGTACTAGTCGAGAAGTAATGTTCCAAATATTTTATTGGATTGGATGGGACTTAGTCCATCTATAATAGATTTATATTGCACTCTATTGGGTTATACCAATACCTTGTCCATTGACAAAAGATAAAATATCGATAAGGCCGAAACGCCAGTAGAGGCATGTCGGCGTGTATCGAAGCTCACTCTTCCTTTTTTGTTTTTCTTTGAAATTGGTTCAGAGTGATTGATCTAAGGCTGGTCTACCCCTGAATTAGGTCACACCCCGATACGACACCTGTAGGGGCGTATCGTTAAGCCAACGATACGATATATATCAATATTTTGAACCTTGGGTGTCAAAGGACTAAGTTTGTATTCGACACAATCTGAATTAAGATCAATTTGAAACCTAGTCCAAAATATTTATCAAATTGAAGTAGACTTAATTCATCTGCAATGGACTCATGTTGGACCAGATTGAGCTGGAGCAATATCCGGTCCACTGATAGCCCATAAAGTTGGTAACAATTAATCTTATATATATAATATCAACACATAAAGTTGGTAACAATAAAATAATACTAATACAAATAAGGAAAACTAGAATAAGTATTAATAAATAAATCTTAAACAATTTAATAAGTATTAGTATATATGTATAATATCTCATAAGATGTTTTAACCTAGTGATTTAATCTGAAATTATTATTCTGCACCTATATTTAATAGTAATGAAAATAAATAAAATGTAGTAAAAATGAAAAAAAAGCTATCTAGCAAAAGTTAATAAAAATTTAAATTCAAATTAGAATAATAAAAATTATTAACAATTTATCTAACTAAAATAAACATTAATAGAAAAAAGTAAATTGCAATTGGTCACGTGGTGTATTACAATTGGACACAATCACGTTAAACATTTTATATTACTTAACAAGTGTAGCACATTAAGAGCCTACTTTCTACAGAGTCCAGATTTGGTCCAAACACAACTATTTGAACCTAATACAAAATACACGGATTTGCACTCTACATATTTGTATTTGTACTTTTTCTAAACTGAACCTATGCTTAGTTTGGAAGGAGTACAAATGCAAATAGGTAGAGTGCAAAACCTTATATTTTGTATTATTTTCTATGTATTTGCACTATACATATTTGCATTTATACTCTTTCCAAACTAAGCCAAAATAATAAATTATGAGTGAACATGCCAATATTCCTTACACCTGGTGGTTACACCACATGTGGGTCTCATGTTTAAGGAACATTGGTCTCTTTACTCATGATTGATCACTTAGTCACCTTCTCATATTTGTGTTCATAGCAGATCTTTGTACGCTTTCTATGATATCCATTTTGCCATGGAAACAATTTAAACCAATTAATCGAAAATAAAGATGATATGTTGGTAGCATATTGATTATATTTTATGTAGTTTCATTCATTAGATTCTAATTGTGACATATTATGGATTACCACTTTGGCAGAAACTTGGTACTTGATAACGCCCTTTATACAAACGAACAAAACATAAGAAAGATTACTGTTTAAATATTTTTGATATCCAATTAATTTCTCCGATTGTGAAATCAATAAAACTAGTTTAGAACCTCAAATGGTACATCAAATAGCATTCACGATTATACTTCAAGGTTGAAATATATATACAAACACAAAGATAGAAAATAGAAACAAAAAAAGAAAGAAAAACAGAAAAGTATTGTGTTTTTTATTAATTATGAGTTGTTGTAGGAGAACTGGTGGTGAATAAGAAATTGGAAACGGTCTCCAATCGCTTGTTTTCTGAAGACAAATAGAGCGCAGTCAATCACCCCATACTTAACGCAACTTTCATGGTGTTATTTAATTAGTTATGCTAAATTGGGATTACCATGCATGTTATAAACCTTTGTCAGTTTAGCGGAACGGGAAAGAGAAAGTTAACAATTAAAGCAATGGGTAAGCTGATAGCCCTTGGTATCTCACTCCTCCTTGTTGTTGGTACCGCCATCAATACTGCCGTCGGCCATGATACCGATGGCTTCTCTGCCGGAGACATTGCAAAGAAAGCTATGTCATCAACGGCAATGAAAAATGTTAAAGCAATCTGTGCGCTAACCGACTTCGAGGATGCTTGCATTAAAACCCTTACCCCCGTCGCCAACAATAAAAGTGCTACCCCTGAGGACTACCTCAAGGCCGCCTTTGAGGCCACCAACGGGGAGGTGGAAGCGGCATTGGAAAAGTCCGGTGTCATTGGTAAAGACGCCCAAGGCTCCATTGATAAGATGGCAGTCGAGGATTGCAAGGAGTTGTTGCAATTTGCCATCGACGACCTCCAATCAGCCATCTCCATGGCGGGTGACCCTGAAAAGAACAAAGCAGCTGATGTCACTGCAGAGTTCAAGAATTGGTTGAGCGCTGTTGTGTCTTACCAAGAGTCGTGCATTGATGGATTTGAACACCCAGAGTTGAAGAATTCAATGCAGAATGGGCTCCTCAATGCCACTCAGCTTACTAGCAACGCCCTCACCATCATCGGCCAGATGTCTTCAATACTCAAAGCCTTAAACATCAACTTCGACTTCAACATCAAATCTCGGCGCCGACTCCTAGATGCACAGGGTTACCCTACTTGGTTTGCACCAACAGACCGTAAGCTTTTAGCTTTGCAAGACAATGGACGAGTGGCGCCTAACGCAGTGGTGGCCAAAGATGGTAGTGGGCACTACAAGACAATTGCTGAAGCACTTGCCGCATACCCCAAGAAAAAAGGGTCTCAGAAAAATGACTCTAGTACTTCTAGATATGTTATATATGTGAAAGCCGGGACCTACGACGAGTACATTACAATCACCAAAGACCAGACTAATATTTTGATGTATGGAGATGGGCCAACCAGTACAATCATCACTGGACACAAGAGCAACCGTGAGGGCATCTCCACATTTCAGACTGCTTCGTTCTGTAAGCAGGATCAAATCAACCTAATATTCCTTTTTCCTTTTGTTCCTTTTTACTTGATCCTAGCAAGTTTATTTTTCATAAATTTCTATTAATTCCTCTTGTAGCTGTTATTGGAGATGGATTCATCTGCAGGTCGATGGGATTCCATAACACCGCCGGTCCAGAAGGGCACCAAGCAGTGGCGCTTCGTGTCCAATCCGATAGGGCGGCCTTCTTCAATTGTAGAATGGATGGGTACCAAGACACCTTGTATGTTCAGGCCCATCGTCAATTCTATAAAAACTGTGCCATTTCTGGTACCATCGACTTCATATTCGGTGACTCGAGCACAGTGATCCAAAATTCTCTCATCATCGTTAGGAGGCCTCTGGACAACCAGCAAAACACAGTGACTGCACAAGGAAAGAAATTCAAGGATGAGAGCACTGGTTTGGTGCTCCAGAACTGCAAAATCGTCCCAGAACAGAGGCTCGTTGCCGAAAGGTTGAAGATCCCTTCATACTTGGGCCGTCCGTGGAAAGAATATGCAGTGACGGTTATCATGGAATCAACAATTGGTGATGTAATCAGACCTGAAGGGTGGATGCCATGGGCAGGAGACTTTGCACTCGATACTTTGTTCTATGCCGAGTATAACAACCGTGGTCCAGGTGCTAACACCGACCATAGGGTCAAATGGAAGGGTTTCAAGGTCATCACCAAAAAAGATGAGGCTCTTCGTTACACTGTTGGACCATTCATTCAAGGGGATGAGTGGTTGAAAGACACTGGATCACCTTTCACCCTTGGATTGAGGTACTAAGTTGTGAAGCAATCACTCGACAAAAGGCAGCAGAATGGAAGAGAATGCGAGACACATGAGATGTCTCATATTATGTATTAACAAGTAAATTAATTAACTTACAACTAATGCCAGAGCAAGTAAGAATCATGCAATATTTTAATAATTTTTCTTTTTTTCTTTTTTATTTTTTTCTGGGACGTGAAGAATTTCTTTCCAAGGATGTTGCCTTTTTTGAAGTTTAGATGGAAATAAACTAGTAAGCTCTCAAATCGGTCTATGCACCTCATCGATCCAGATGAACTTTTATCTTTTTAAATTTACGAAGGTGTCTTCATTAATATTAAATTTTGATCTCAAGCAATCATATTGGAGTTTGTTTCGTTCTTATTAGTTAATGTTTGTTAAAGTTTACTTTCGTAAAGTATTTACCATCAAGTTCATTCAATCATGTCTTTTGTTCCATGGCATGGTGCAACAGATGCACCATAGGTTTTGCCTTTTTTTTCTCACCTTTTGATTTGATGAACTGTATATTTAATTTGTTATCTTGTTTATTTAATTTAGTAGCTCTAATTTTTTTGATATAAACCAGAAATCCAAAACAGGAGCTACACAGAACAAGGGGTAGCCCATCCCCAAATGTCATCTCAAGAAAGACACTTAAGAAAGAAAGGAAAACAAGAAATTGAACTAAGATTTGAATGAACACAATTACCAAGCCAATCAGCAACTCAGTTTCCTTCCCAGAATGTGTGTCTGTACTCCAACGCGTTGTCCATTCTCTCGACCAAAGACTTGCAACCTTCAATGATCCTTCTCAGTCTCCATGGAGGGTCCACCTGGTTTTTTAGACAGTCAATGACAAGTTTTGAATCGTATTCAATGATAATGGATTTTTTGTTGAAATTGAGAGCAAGATTGTGAGCTTCCCAAGCTGCCCACGCTTCAGCAAAATTGATAGTTGAGGATCCTATACCATAGGCTTTGAAATCCACAATCTGGCCAAGGTGGTTTCTGACCACACAAGCAATGGTGCATCTGTTGTTTATGCAAGAAGTATCAAAGTTTATTTTGATTTCATCTACTTTTGGCTTAACCCACTTGATAGGGATGACCATCTTATTTGGAGCCATCAATGAATCACTAACAAAACTTGCTTTTGCTTCCAAAAAGGAGCTTTTAGCTCTGCCAATGATAATTGGAGGGATTGCCTTGTTATTGAAAGTTTTATTATTTTGATTCTTCCAAATTTGGCATAGCAAGATAGATATATTTTCTTTTGCAAAGGGAATCTTCGGATAATGAGAAATATCATCCAAAGGATGCCCACCATTCAAGCACCGAATTGCAATTCCTCTGAGGAGCCGGAATAGTATCCTTCGTTATGCTCCAAATTTGTTTAGTGAAATGACATTTTAAAAAGATATGAGTAGAATCCTCTTCACCACAAAAGTCACAACAGCCATCAATATCAACACCTCTTTTCCTAAGAGCTATCTTGGAGGGGAGTTTATTATTAAGCAAGATATATAAGAACATCTTGATCTTGGGGGCCACTTCCAGATTCAAGATTTTGTTGATTTCCTTTGTCACCCTGGTGGGACACCATACATCCAACAAGCTTCATTATATGCCGATTTGATAGAGAAATCACATTTTGGGTTAGGTCTCCAAATTTTACAATCCTGTTCACCGGATGGAACAAAAATATTTCTATTTTTTTTCCATGCACTTACCGGTACAAGGTTCTTGATCAAATCTTCATTCCAGGTTTTTATCTCGTGATTGATGACATCACTAACTTGGAGGTCAATGTTACTAATATCTATTTCGTTAACCAAATTGATCAGGGGAATGGCATCAGACCACTTATCCAACCAAAATTGTCTCATTACCCTTGCCAATAGTCATTCCTAGCCCTCTCTTAAGTAGATTACGGGACCCAAGGATGCCTTTCCAAGCCCATGAATGGTTCTTATTTGGCTTTATCTCCCAAAAGTCTTTTCCCGGAGATATTTGCTACTTAGAACTTGGACCCATAAGTTATCTTTTTCATTTAGAATTTTCTAACCTAATTTTGCAAGGCAAGGCTCATTTATCCAAGCTAGATTCTTTAGGCCCAGCCTACCCCACCATTTAGAAGTGCAAACTCTGTCCCAATTAATGAGATGGAGGGGTTTCTTATCTTTGTTGTTAGTCCATAGAAAATCTCGTTGCTTTTTATCAAGATCCTGAATGACTCCCCTTGGGACCATAAATGATCTCATAATATATTGTGGAATCATGTTACAGGAAGCCTTAATGAGAGTGACTTTACCAGCAAGGGAGAGATAGTTCCTTTTCCATCCAACCAGTTTGCTCTCCATCTTTTCACTCAAAAATTTGAAGATGTCCTTATTATATTTTGTTGTTAAATATGGGAGTAACAGGTAATTTTTATTCTTTGCCTGTAAAGGAATTTTGAGAATTTTTTACATGATTTTCCTACATCTTGGGTGGATATTCTTTGAGAAAAGTAAGGTTGACTTGGAAAAATTTGGGGCCTGCTCTGAGGCTTTGGCAAAATTAGACAAGATGTTCTTGATTGTACAATGAGCCTATATGCCTTGGCAAAGATGATGCAATCATCAATAAACTAAAGAATAGGTAAAGAAGGCCCACCCTTGGAAACCCGACAGCCAATAGGACTCTCGGGGCTAGAAGCTTCCTTCAACAGAGGACAAAGACATATGGGGATAGGGGTCCCCTTGTCTTATCCCTCTGGATGGGGTAATATCTCGAACAGGAACCCCATTCACTAAAATCCTGTACATTACCGTTTTAATACACTCCATGACCTAGTTCACCCATGTATTGTGAAAGCCCAAACGTCTAAGCACTTTGTCAATAAAGTCCTAATCAAGTTTATCATAAGCTTTCTCCATATCAATCTTACATTGCCATATGCCCTTTTTTACCCTTTTTTTCCTCATACTATGCTTGATTTCATGAGCTATGAGAACATTATCTGTGATTTGACGAGTAGGAATGAAAGCACTTTGAAAAGAGGAGACAATGTCATTATGGAAAGGCTTGTTTCTATTTACTAAAACTTTTGAGATAATTTTATAAATGACATTGCGCAAGCTTATAGGCCTATAATTATTAGTTGTCTCTGGGTTGGCAGTTTTAGGAATAAGTGTGATAAAGATTTTGTTGATAATTTTATTCATCTTCTCAGAGTGGAAGAATGCTTTAACAATACTACAGATGGAATTTCCAACTATATTCCAATATTTTTTAAAAAATAGTGCATTAAGTCCATCCGGGCCCGGAGCCTTGAGATCCTTCATAGCAAAGATTGTGTCTTTGATTTCTTTATCTGTTACTTCTCTAAAAATTGATAAATTCTGCTCATTAGTTATGGAGGAATTTATTACCAAAATAAATTCACTAGCATCAACTAGACCATCAGTTTTGAATCTCTTCTCAAAATTATCACTTAGATATTCAGCTATATCATTCTGGCCACACACCCATTCCCCCTCATTATTTCTGATTCTAGAAATTCTATTCCTATTCTTTCTTATTGGGGTCATAGTATGGAAAAACTGTTATTCCTGTCTCCAAGTTTGATCCAATTGATTCTGGCATTTTGGGCCCAATAAGTCTCCTCTTTAATGAGTATAGAGTTGAGGTGTCTTTGGAGAGCTAACACCAAATTTAGAAGGGAGATGTTTTAATCATCATTTACTATTCTTACCTGAACCTCACCTAACTAATTCTTGATTTTATCTTTCAAATGGAAAATATTACCAAATTTTTTCTTGTTCCATTCTCTTAAATTTTTAACAAGTAAATTTCTTTTCTTGATAAATTAGGAGGCTCTTGATCTCTCAAAAGGACAACACCATGAATTTTGAATAACCTCCTCAAGACCAGGCTCAAGGTACCACATAACCTTCAAATCTAAAAGGTTTGGTGCCCAATATTCAGTTTAGCGTTAGTTTGAAGGAGAGGGGAGTGATCTGAAGCCAGAAAAGGGAGGTTAGTAAGAGACGCCTCCAGATGGCGAGTCCTCCACCAACCATTAGAGAAAACCCAATCAATCTTCTCTCTGACATTGTTATTTCTCCAAGTAAATTGAAGACCTTGCATTTCTATCTCAATTAAATTGCAGTAATCGATAAGATCATTAAAATCTCTGGTCTGGCTACTTGTTACAGCTTGGCCACCCCATTTGTTTTCACTACTTCTAAGGGAGTTAAAATCCTCCATGATACACCAAGGCTGGTCGACATTATCAGCAATTTCTTTGAGCCAAGACCACACACTTTTTTGTTCAACATGATTTGGAGGAGCATATACAAAAGTACAAAGCCAAGATCTACTTAATATTAGATCCTCTACTAGCGCATGAACAATTCTATCATTCAAGAAAATAACTTTCAGATTACATTGAGTTTTTTTCCACATGATCCATAGACCTCCAGAAAATCCAACAAACTCAACAAAAATAAAATCATCAAAAGGAAAAGTTCTAAGAATTTTCTTTGCATGATCTAGACCAACTCTAGTTTCCATCAAAAAGCATAAATCAATACAATGAGATTTTGAGAGGTCGATGACTTGATGTCTCAGGCGAGGTTTGCCCGCCCCTCTAACATTCCACAGTAGAATTTGCATTGGTCACCACACAGATTTTCGAGTCCATTTTCACCCCATCAAAATTATCATTTTGTTGGCTAGATTGGATCTCTTTTCCTTTCTCTTATACTTCTAGTTGCAGCTCCTAGTCATTCCAATCTTACTCCATTTCTCCTTCTCCAACAAAGTTGTCACCATCAAAATTGTCTTCCCCACTGCCTCAAGATTTTCAAGGCCATTGGAGGAGTTTTCAAGAAGAGGATTTTCGCCATCACCAAAGTCAACCTTACAATTATTTTCTTTATTTCCATTAAATTTGGGAGTCCAAATTGGTTTCGGTTTTGTCATATGAATTGGCTCAATGATCAAGTGTCCCGGGTTTACAACATTGGATTTGTTGTACTTTTAATTATATCAAATACCAAATGAACTTTCTAATACTACCAAAAAAAATGAACTTTCTAAGTTTTAACTTTATCTTTTGAAACCTGAAACATCTTTTTAACTT